AGTAGTAACAGGTGCCTTACTAGTAGTAACAAGAAGCTAGTAGTAACTAGAAGCTTGTTCCCCTCCGACAGGATTTGGCACAGTTGGCTTCGTCTCTTGCAGCAGTGGGCTCCTCATGACCAGCGTTACTGTACCTTTCAAGATGTTTGCGATGGCCTCCAACCTAAGGGCAATGGCCTCCAACCTAAGAGCGACAGCCTCCAACCTAAGAGCGATGGCCTCCATCCTGAGAGCAATGGCCTCCAACCAAAGAGCAATGGTCTCCAACCCAAGAGCAATGGCCTCCCAACCTAAGGGCAATGGCCTCCAACCTCCCATCGAAGCTACCAGCGACAGCGCTACTGTTGCTATCAAATTTGATTGAACTTTGTTGTGAGGTTTCTCAGAAGTACCGCTCAGAGGTTGTTCATGGTTTTCGAGTATTGCTGCAGCCGTGGCAGCGTCCTTACGATTTTTCACAGAAAGGTGCACTTGAAGCCTGATTCCGTAAACGTGCAACAATGTCTTGCATGACCTGGAGCCCTTGTAGAACAGAGAACTGAAGACAGAAACTTGAAACGACCGGTCAGCAGGACAAAACAAAGGGATCAAAAAAAAACCAAGAAACACAGGAACAGATTATTATATAATATACTAATTATTCGGTATTCAACTTGTTCTACCAACGTATATAGGTTGGAGGCCATTGCTCTTAGGTTGGAGGCCATCGCTTGTAAAATCACTGAGGACGACTGGGATGGCTAAAGAGCTGAGTTGGGGCGTCTCTTTGGAAGGGCTTTGTGCCTTGCTGAATGCTTTGGAGCGCTTGGCGTTGCTGGACTTGAGCTTGGCCATCAGCCCAGCCGCTGTGCAGCGCGTTTCCCATGCAAAGCTCTCAGCGAGCCATTTAGGACACTTATGTGCAAGCAATGTGCAAACAGGTCTCAAAAGGAGCAAAGCATGTGTTTTTTCATTTAAACGCTAACTTTAGACCTTTATTGACTTGTTTACAACAATGGTTCTCTTTTTGTTTGACTCTAGACGCTCGTTTTGTTTTGTTTTTGTATTTGTTCTTTGTACACATATTTTTCTTTAGACCTTTTTCAGACCTTCTGACCTTCTTATTGTTTCTTTAGGCCTTTCTGTGTTCTTTTTTGCTTATACTGACTGATACTTATTGTTCTTCCTGGCCTTTTAGACCTATCTATTTATATATGCATTATGTGGTTCGTTTTTCCTTTAGGACCCGGTGTTCCTGGTTTTTGACCATTTAGGACACCTTTGTTACATCTTCTCCAGATGGCTGGAGCCGAAATGGGCTTCAGAAGCTGGAGACAGCCTTGAGCCACGTGGCGTACATGCGCAAGCACCAGCGCCAGCGGCGTGTGAAATGAGAGCCTTGAGGGTTCAAGTACTTGAGCTCTTCAAGTCCACGCTATGTCCTGCCATCGTGGAACTTGCTTCAACGTTCCAACGTCCGAAGAATGTGGCGCTGACAGCGCTGGCGTTGGCCCGCTTGTGCCGATCTACGAAGGATGAGAAGGATGAGAAGGCCATCGCGATCGTAGGTTCGAGGCTATTGCTAGTAGATTGGAGGCCTTCGCTATTCGGAACACGAAGCTACTAGTAGCTTCTTGCTCCTAGTAGCGATGGAAGGAGCCCCTAATAGCGTCCTTGCTCCTAGTAGTAAGGCCAGGAGCCCCTAGTAGCTTCTTGCTCCTAGTAAGAAGATTGTGTTCTTTTAAACAAACTGTCAGATCCACATCCCACGAGGTTCAGCGCTTGTCCCACGAGGTCGCAGAGTCCTTGTGTCAACAGAGCCTTTTGGACCGAGCTGAACAATCTGATTCCGATCCCTGTTTGAGCCCAGCGTAAAAAGCAGGTGCAGCATATCCACTAGGAGCAAGGACACTACTAGGAGTAAAGGGCATCGCGACTAGGAGCAAGGACGCTACTAGGGGCTCCTGGCCTTACTACTAGGAACAAGGACGCTACTAGGGGTTCCATACTACTAGGAGCAAGGACGCTACTAAGGGCATATCCACGAAGTTCCGTGTTTTGCTTGAAGAAAACAAAGAATTAAAAGGAGCTGTGGGATGCCATCGCTAGAAAAACAGAGTTGGAGACGCCTTTACACCTAGGTTTGAAATGCTTTCTTTACTGCCGCCCCGTACCCTGAAAGGTCTTTGTTCTATGATACCATAGGATACGTTTATTTGTCCTGTGTGCAGAAGTCTACTAGATACCGCAGTTTGTCTCTGTTTTTCTTTCACGTGAGCCATTCAGGATTCACTACAGTGGTGCAATTGGCAGAGCTTGGATTTGGCACAACTTGCAGAGTCTCTCTCTGCACTACTGACGTCAAGAATGGACGTGAAGTTGCCAGCGGTGGCCACGTTATTGCGGCTACCTTAGCCTTTAGAGCGAACCCCAATGTGGCCTAATGCAGATACAGATACAATCAAAGTGATTACGATCATCGTCGCTCAAACGCGCTGCAAATCCACAAAAATCGCCATGAAAATGCGGAGATACCTCCGCAAATAGTAACAAGTGCATCGCTTCTAGTAACAAGTGCCTTAGTAGTAGTAGTAGTAGTAGTAGTAGTAGTAGTAGTAGTAGTAGTA